CGCGCAAGGGGGATGACACCACGTGGTGTTAAAATGGTCAAGCACCCTTGAGGCAGTTACACAGTAGCGCTTACAACTGTCTCTGGAAGTGAAAGCGCCAGAAAATAAATTAATTCATACGCAGTTGCCATCCGTACGCAAGGAAGTAAGCACAAGATGCCGAACACCCTTAGCAGGATCCAGCGCAACCTTCATGCGACTCGCCGAATATCTCACGGCGCTTCGCGCTTGGTGATGTGAGAGCCTGGTCCGGTGAGAACCCGGCGTGCTCCGTCCCGGCTTTGTAGGGATGCGAGGTCAATGGTCTAACGACTACGGCATGCACGACTATGAGTACACCCCCCCCCCCCCGCCCCCCCCCCCCCCCCCCCGGTGTTTGCCATCGGGGTTGGGTTTTCGTCGCTTGGCAACGACGTTGTAAAACAAGCCGCCCCCCCCGGTGTTTGCCATCGGGATTGGGTTTTCGTCGCTTGGCAACGACGTTGTAAAACAAGCCAATTCACTTCGTGAACTCGGCAACCAGGTTGCCGTTTTTTTTTTTACCTCCGTTGTATTTTTTGACGGTAACCATAATGCTGATGGTTGAGTAGATCATGTTGTGCGGGGTGAACCCTCACTCCGCGCAAGGGGGATGATCGCACCACGTTGTGTTAAAATGGTCAAGCACCCTCGAGGCAGTTACACAGTGCTTACAACTGTCTCTGGAAGTGAAAGCACCAGAAAATAAATTAATTCATACGCAGCTGTCATCCGTACGCAAGGAAGTAAGCACAAGATGCCGAACACCCTTAGCAGGATGCAGCGCACCCTTCATGCGACTCGCCGAATATCTCACGGCGCTTCGCGCTTGGTGATGTGAGAGCCTGGTCCGGTGAGAACCCGGCGTGCTCCGTCCCGGCTTTGTAGGGATGCGAGGTCAATGGTCTAACGACTACGGCATGCACGACTATGAGTACACCCCCCCCATACAACAACCCACCCGTGGTGAATTGAATCGGATTTGTTCGGGTCAAAACATTAGCGCCCCCCCACAGCACATGTAACTCCTCTCGGATTCCAGAGAATGGAACGGCACAAGATACCGCAAGCCCCCGGTGATGGCATACCGTGAGGGACAATTTTGGTAGAGGCCAGGAATGAATGTTATCGTCACCGGGGTGTGGTTTCTTGTGTCATACATTAGAACAGTCCGCGAGGTACATTTTAGTAGCTCCTCATTCATTAGTCCAACGTTCGCTCGCTCTAGTGATCGGTGATGCTTACAAGATGCAAACATAACGGGACGTACCGTACACATCAGTTAGTAGCGCTGGTCGTTCGTACGTACGTGGTTTCATCCGTTCACCTCCCCATAGAAATGACTAGATTTGGTCTCAATCGACTTCAACGACGCACGCAGTTTCTCGCAGTGGCATGACGCACGACGTCGTGTGTGTCGTATCTTCTGAAGGTTGAAGATAGAATCTACCAGCGACCAGGAGAGAGAGGAGCGGTCTAAGTGAGGTCTGCCGCGATTTCATGATTGTCTCTCCCTCTCTCTTCCGCGTGGGCATCCATCAAGTGCACATGCCGCTGTCATGAGTAGAGCAAGCGCTTCGATGTCCGACTTCCTGGTTTGCCATAGTCGTCTGCTGCCACACATGTGGCTGCTGCTGTTGTCTTCATCGGTTGACCCGGTCGCTGCCGTGCCGCTCAAATAAAGCTGCTGCTCACAAACGCAGGAGATTCTGATTGGTCGATTCGCGATGACGACACACTATCCTTTCACCATAACGAAGCTACATCTGCTTCCAGAAAAATCAAGTGATTTTTCACCTAAAAAAAAAAATGAACAAAATAAAAAAAAACGTATGCCTCCCGCGGGCCCGTGGGACACACCTACCCAACGCACGAACCCTGAAGAAGAGGATGGGCGAATTCGGGTCTAACCGAGCAGCATGGCTGATAGCTGGCTTCTTAGGGCGCAAGTTCATGAAGGTGGGTGGCTTTTTCCCTCTCACCCGCGCCTCCGTGTTCTATGCTGTCAATCGCTTTGGCAAAGTTTTCGGGCGGGCGCGAGAATAGAGCTCGCGCGCCAGGTATGCGTTCGTCTGTACGTCTCTTCATCTCTTTATAGATGTGTGTGTGCGTTCCCAGAGAAAAGGAGGAAGCTTCAGCTTGCATCTACAACGCTGCTGGTGTGTGCGTGAATCTACTCGGCAGGAGGCTGGGTAGCTCTACCACTCCTCTGGCCGCTTTGCCTTCATTCGGGCACATGCCAGTGTTTCGATTCGCTGCTGCTGCTGCTGCTGCTGCTGTGTGCAACGTGGAGGAGAACGTGGTGTGTCCTCCGTCCTCTCGTCGTTGTTGCACCTATGATACAGGATTTCCTAGGACGATGGAGCGTCATCCCGGTGTTGGCCGTAGCCGCCTGCTTGTGGAACAAGTGGAGAGCGAGGCAGCTCGAAGGAAAGCTTGAGCAGTGCAAGCTAGAGGAGGTGAGCCCTGCCAGACAACCGTGGAGGCAGGCCTACAGCAGGGAGCCGGATGTTCCGGCCTGTGTCCCTCTCGTTGTATGTACACGCCAACGTGCACATTTTTTCCCAGCCAGTGTTCCTGGGTACACACAGAGCTTTGTACACCTCACTTCCCCTTGTTCTGATCGGCAGTATCATGGTTCATGGAGGACAATGGTTCCATTTCGAGGGCTCAGTTCGCCCCTCCTCCTTGTACCCGAGGCCTCCGATTCTGTTTTCGGCGGCTCTACAGACGGAGGCCTTGTGGCAACGAATGCCAAAGGCGACGTGTGAATCGTCATCCACCCGGGATTCTCTCGGTCTATCCCTCCTCCCCTCCGCCCTTATCGCTACTGCTGTAGTCTAGTTTCCTCTTACACACCCACCACCAGAAAGACAAGTTGCGGTGTTTTTTTTTCGCCTTGTTACCCCAAACGATGACATTATCAGACATCCCCCGGCGTTTCTGAAAGGCATATGGCGTGGCTTGCTTGCAACCGCAGCAGCAGCACCATCATCCGTAACCCCTACGTGTATGAGCGTGTATCCATAGCAGTATAGGCAACATTTGAAAATCGAGTGGGATGCCTTCCTCCTTCCACCCTACT